ACTCAATTACTGCCTCACTTTTTCAAGATTGACTATGATTTTCTAGAAATTTGTTTCGGTTGTAAATCTGACTCCATATGTGTACCCGAATACACTATTTTGTAGAAGACGGGTATGACACCCATATGGTAAAAGGGCGCTTGGACCACACCAACAGGAGCCAGCGTTATCACATTTGTTTGGCGCAGGCGCGTATGGCTAAAGGTAAGTTCAAGCAATCTGAGGGAAATTAGTGTGATGCTGGTGTTCTCGAATTCATTGGTGATTTAAAGTTGCAGGTTCCGGCATCTGTTGCGCGTACACCGGGTTTTTGCTCGCCGATCAAATATTCGTGTAATATTCGTGTTTGGTAGGTCGAACCCCCTCACAAATGAATTTCTAGCAAAATTTAACAAGCAAGGTGGATTTCTTGAAGAATTCACCTTCAGTGGAAGAGCGGAACACTATAGCGTCTCATTATTGAGGACAGTCCGACGGATTGGTTGCGGATGACGGTATAATGTGTGGATTTATCTGGCAGCATTGATGACACTAAGAATTAGGGAAGATTTTGTGGTTGGTCTTGAACAATATGTCAGCATGGCGAATTGCTCCTCATTTATGGTGTAGGCTAAGGATACAACTTGTGTGTATGGGGTGCATAAATGGTCTTCTAGCATTGCCTCTATGCTTATGGTCATTTTCATGATAATTCGTAATTCGAATAGTCAGCGCATTTGCATCCCTTTGTGAAAGGAAACCGTACGTATACTTTGTTTATAACGACTGGGCATATCGTAGTTGCAGACTCAGCAGTAGGCGTCACGGTGGCCTCAAAAAATCAATAACACGCCTTGTCTGATGCTTTGCTGCCATCCTGTTTACGCTTGTCCCTAAGGAGGTAGTTACATACCCAGCCGTGGAATGTAAAGTTCTATGTACCCAATTCCAAGCATAGCGTGAAGCAAGCGTGAACGCAGATTTCTCCTACGCTTTCTTCCACAAAACGAAGAAAATTGGAAGAAAATCGATGCTATTTAGACACCTTTGAGAAAAACCTTTATTAAACACCAGACATCTGGCACGTATAAAGACTTATTCAATAACTCTGGTAAATTCTACGAAGAGCTGATAACTTCTTCGGTTGCATCGAGCGCGTGCTCTTGAAGAGCAGTGCATGGGCTGAAACTGAAACTGACATCCAATGATATGCGATGTTTTTTAAATAGCTTGCATAGCTAAACTAATTGATGAAATATTCAACAATATTGACCTTTGTTCAGGAAAAGCCTCATAAAACTCGGGCATATAGTCAGACCTGCAATCCCTAAATTAGTGTGTGCCAGCTGTAGTCATTTTTAGCTATAAATCAGGGCCAGTGTCCTTAACCTCCAACTA